AGAAAGAAAGAAAGAAAGAAAGAAAGAAAGAAAGAAAAAGAAAGAAAGAAAGAAAGAAAGAAAGAAAGAAAGAAAGAAAGAAAGAAAGAAAGAAAGAGAGAGAGAGAGAGGGGAAGAGATAGACGGAGAGAGGGAGGGAGGAAGAAAGAAAGAAAGATTTAAAACAGCATTCCCATCCATGTTCTCACTGATTGCATGCATTTCTGCCAGGGCTCACTGAACGTAACATGTTGAGACAGTCTATCACATGCCTTCAACTGAAAAGAGCCTCATGGTTGCTATTATTCAAAATCCTGCAAGTAATCAATATCGTTGAGCTCATGCCATGAATGATAAGAAAGAGATGTGGCATTCTTAAAGATTCATCCTCAACCAGATGTGAACTTCTACTGAGCTTCTCAATGGCAGTGGATGATTGAAGGTTAGCAGGAAAGTGGTGGTATTCTGCATGGCAACAGATTTCAGTGAAGATTCTAACTTCCCACTGACAGACATAAAGAAGGGCAAATGATAGTTGGGCTACTACTGGGAAAGGAGAGATCAGAAGAAAGGGGTACTGAATCAAACTCATCTCAAGATTTCTTACGTTTCTGAGAATTAGGAAATCATCCATTAAACATACTCATCATCTATTAACCAGTTCTGAGGTATAGCAGAATCCTCAGGAAATATTTTGAAATACCCATCTCAGGCCTCAATACATTTACTGAATCAAAACCTTCAGGGCAGAGCCTCAACTTGCACATTTCCAAAACTTTCCCCAGACCACTGAAATGCACAAGTCTACATGAGAACTGGAGAACTTAGAATATCACTTCAGTCTCATCTCTCATCCACACAGCCAATTCTTTTCACTATTTGAGGATATGGCCAAAAGAAAGGAAAGTAAGAGACAGTTACTCCATGAAAGCTCCATTTAATCCTCTTGGCTAAGGGCAGAAGAGGCACTAGTAAATTGCAAATGCAACTGATTTCATTATACAAGCTCCTTATCTCCCAGCTCCCAGGAGATATGATAGGTTTGAAAGCAGGATTTAAACTCTTATTTTAGTTGTTCTTTCAGCCTGAAAAGGAGAGGATGTCTCTTCATTATTTGTTGACCTCCCTTCTTTCCAACCTAATCACCATTCAGCCAGGGCCAATCTGGCTTCTTCAGAGTTCTTCTAAAATTGCAAGTTTGCAACTATACAACTTTCAAAATGAAGAATTTTTATCCCCACGCCACGCATGGCCTGTGATCCTTGCACTACGAGAGGCTGAAGCAGGAAGACTGCAAGTTCAAGCCCAGACTAGGCAGCTAACTGAGACCGTGTCCAAAAGAAAAAATCACATAAAAGAGCTGGAGATGTAGCTCAGTGTGCAGGTCCTGTGCTCAACTTCCAGTTCTACAAAGAAAAAAGAACTTTCATTCCCAAAATTGAAGAGCATCTTGTCTATGCACGTGAAACTGAGAAATTTTTTCCAAAAACCAACCAACCAAGCAACCAGTCAACCAGCCCCAATTGGCCTGCATTATTTCCCATCACCTTTCCTTGTCATTTTTCCCATCTAAGTGAAACCACCAAAAAAAAATAAAATTTTTAGGACCTGTCAACATCAACAAGATTCCCACTTATTGGAAAATACTATTGTTCTGCTTAAATTTTAAAATAACACCTATTTCCAAGGCAAATTTTGCTGTCCTGTGTTGTTTTACACTAATTTTTTTAAAATGGAAAAATATAAGATTTACTTTTTAAAAGCTGTTCTCACAAATGCTTGCTATAAGTGCATAAAACCTATCTATCATCTAGTATTTCTTTAAAACTATCAACATTTAAAGTAAAATCTTTTAACAACTGTGTTACTTAAAGTACTGTATTTCCATCCACAGGATACTTGAGCATCTAAATATGTCACTGTTAACATGAATGTATTTCAATATTTTGGAGATGGAACTAATTGATTTATACCTTGTTTGTGGCCTCAATATTCGCATTGTGTGAAAGCAGTTTTTCCGCTAACGATGTGGTTTCACTGCAAGCTGCAAAATGTAGAGCAGTGTTGCCCT